ATCAGCTGTTGAGAGTTGCACGTGGGGGAAGGAGAGAAGAGGGGCGGAGGGGAAGGAGAGAAGAGGGCGGAGGGGAAGGAGAGGAGGTAAAAGCAGCAGGCGAGGCGGGGCGGGTTAGGGGGGACGCGGGTGGGGGACCATCAGGGGGCTATCAGTAACTTCAACTTACAGCAGGGGCGGCTTCAAGGGCGGGCGCCATCAGCTGTGGAGAGTTGCACGTGGGGGAAGGAGAGGAGGAGGAAGGTGGGAGGGGGGAGAGGGAGGGGGCTCAGCATACCAGGAACCAGCTCCGCCAACTCAGTGAACTTACAGCAGGAGCGGCTTCAAGGGCGCCGTCAGCTGTGGAGAGTTGGACGTGGGAGAAACCGAGTTGATCGAAGAAACGCCGGCCTAGCTGCAGATGTGAGGGGGGAAAGGGGCAAGGGGGCAAGGGCAGGCAGGGGGAAGGGGAGACAGGGGGAAGGGGGGGGAAAGGGCAGGGGTTTTATTGGGTTGTGAGATGAGAGCAGGTGAGAGGTGGGGGAGGCGCAGGTGGGGGGGGGGGGGTGCGCAGGTGTGGGGGGGGGGGTTTGCGCAGGTGGGGGAAGCCGAGGTGATCAAAGAAAACATTAACCTAACTGCAGATGTGTGAGGGATGGAAAGGGCAAGGGAGACGGTGGGGGGGAGGGGGGGAGCGGGTGGGAAGGGGGATGTGATGTGAAAGTTGTTGGGGAGGTGCAGTTGGGGAAAATTGAGCTGGTCAAAGAATCAACTGCGTAGCTCCAGGCGTGGGTGGGCGGGAAAAGATGGGTGGGGGGAGTGGAAGAACAAGAGAGGGGAGGAGGAGAGGAGGTGAGAGGGAGTGAGTTGAAGGTAGTGAGTGTGAGAGAAAGAGAGAGAGAGAGAGGGAATGTGAGACTAGTTGGTATGGGAGGGAGGGGGTTAGTGGTGACCATAAAGAGGGGCAACTCACATGCGTGTAGCCTGTGACAATACGAAGCGGGTTCTCAGCGGACCACTGCGGCATGGCGATGAGATCTTGAATGGAGTTGACCCGCTCAAATATGCCGTATGATGGCACCTGGGGGGGGGACAAGGAGAGGGCGAAGGGAACAGGGGACAGGTGACAGGGGCAGGGCCATCGATGACCCCGGCAGCAGCAGGACACAGAGGGGCATGGCAATGAGATCTTGAATGGAGTTGATCCGCTCGAATATGCCGTATGATGGCACCTGGGGGGACACGGATAGGGTGATGGGAACAGAAGGGAGGGGGGCAGGTCAGGTCATAGCAGCAGGGGCATTAGTGACCTGACACGGGCAGCAGTGGGAGACACGGGAGGCACTGCTAACAGCAATGAGATCAATTGTAAGCTTATGCTACAGCCCGAATGGAGTTGACTCGCTCAATGCCGTATGACGGCACTCACTGCAATGCTGAGATGGCACTCACTGCAATGCTGAGATGGCACTCACAGCAATGCTGAGGTGGCACTCACGGCAATGCTGAGGTGGCACTCACAGCAATGCTGAGGTGGCACTCACGGCAATGCTGAGGTGGCACTTGCCGAAGCCAAGAGAGTCGTGCACGATGACCAGATTGGGATCGTCCTGGTGTGCGTGTGCATGGGGAAGGGGGAAGGGGAAGAGGGGAGAAGGAGGGGGGGAGATAGGCGAAAAGAGAGGAGGGGGAAGGGAGATGGATCACTCGCGATTGTGGAGAGGGAAGAGGGGAGTGCACACAGAGCCAGGGGGAGTTAGTGAGGGACGGGTTGACTTTTGAGTCGACTCAAAAGAAGGAGTTAGTGAGGGACGGGTTGACTTTTGAGCCGACTCAAAAGGAGTTAGTGAGGGACGGGTTGACTTTTGAGTCGACTCAAAAGGAGTTAGTGAGGGACGGGTTGACTTATGAGTTGACTCAAAAGGAGTTAGTGAGGGACGGGTTGACTTTTGAGTCGACTCAAAAGGAGTTAGTGAGGGACGGGTTGACTTTTGAGTCGACTCAAAAGGAGTTAGTGAGGAACGGGTTACCGGCAAAACGTCCTCGTGAGGATAAGATAAGGGTGATGGGGTGATGTGGGATGATTAGATAAGGTCATGGGATCATGGGTTGATGCTAGGGTCATGTGTGCTTATTCGACTGCATGGCGGTCCCGTCCCGTCTCCCGTCTACTCTTCCTTTCGTCCTTTTCCTGTCCTTCATGTCTCGTCTATGTCTTTAATCCCTGCCATACCTTGCCATACTCCTTCACCATGTCGTACCCCACAATTGTCATGTTCACGTGCCTTCCTCTGTTCTCAGCCATACCTTCCCACGCCATGCCTCTAGTCGCCGTACGCACCTTGCCATACTCCTTCACCATGTCGTACCCCACGATCGTCATGTCCACGTCACCGCTCAGCAGCTTCCTCACGCAGTCCGACGCGCGCTGAAACCACACCTCCAGGCCCTCGATCTGTGTGGGGGGAAGGGGGATGGTGGAGGGAAGAGGGGGAAGTGTTGGTGGGTGTAGGGAGGGAGGAGTGGACGGGGGTCAGGGCAGAGAGAGGTGCGTCACTGCTCAACAGCTTGCTCTCGCAGTCCGACGCGTGCCGAAACCACACCTCCAGGGCTTCGATCTGAGAATTAAAGGGTGGGGACAAGGGAGGCGGGAGTTTAAACCAGAGGGTGGGGGTGGGGGTGGGGGTGGAAGTTTATTAGGCTGCGTTCCTGTGGGCGCCTCAGAGTGTCGTTTCTCGGCGCAACCTGGCTGAGCCACACGGTCACCACTCACTCACTCACTCGTAACCGTCAAAACCCAAAACCCTTGCTTGCTTGATCACACGCACTTATCGGATTGCTTATAACGCAGCACACACGCATGCGTCCAGCCCAGCCCAGCCCAGCCCAGCCCAGCCCAGCACGCACGCACGCACACACACGTCTATTCCAGCATGCGATCACGCACGCACCTGTGTAGACTCTAGACTAGCCCCGCACGCACGCACCTCGGAGATCTCAGCAATGTACTGGCGAGGGTTCGGCTTTCGCACGGTCAGCTCGCACTCCTGCGACGGGCCAGCGAAAAATCGCGCGAGAAAAGAGGGAGGGATGGAGAAGGGGGGGGGGGGGGAGAGGGGGGGAGGACCGTCTGGATCACGAGACTAGGGAGAAATTGGAGAAATCGCGATGGTTGGAGTATTTCGATTCGTTTCGTATTTTTTTACAATGTGTGAACACGCATGACTGCAGAGCGACGAACGATGACGACAAGGGCGAGGACGGGTCACCGGGATAACAAGCAGAGACATTGATTAGTAATGATAAGTGAAGAGCTTCTGAAAGAGAGGCAGCGCGCGAGCTGGTCGTACCTTGAGAAGCGCGAGCGTGTCTTCCGCCATGCGACCTTTACTCGGCAGCGCCAGTCGCACAATGTCGCGCTGGCGACTCCTCCCTGCTGTCGCCTGCGACGCTGCCGCGGCACGGGCAATGAGCGCGTGAGGCACAGGCGACGTAAGGAAAGAGAGGATGGTGAATGGGAAATGATGAGAAGCACAAGCAAGCGGGATGTGGGGAGGGGAGGAGGGTGGGGGGAAAGGGGGGGATGTTGGTGTGTCTGGTGGTGAGGCGGCATAGATAAAGACGGCACATTGAAACGGTGGTGCAGATTAAGTCTGGTGATTCTCTCTTTTTTTTGGTCGATTCTCAATCCTCTCCTCGGCGGTGTCTCTGGAACTGGATGGCGTGATAGAGCGCGGAACATCGGGAAGATTCAGGTCAGAAGTTTAGGGCTGAACTTGAGAGCGGCGAAAACCCGATTTAGGACTGCCAGATGAAGGGTACTAGGCTCTAAGAGGGGAATGGGGGCTTTTGAGGTAAAGAAGGCTTCACGAATCTTCTGCATTCCTGCTTGCGACTGAGGTACCGGATCGACTAGGGTACGTGACGTGGCATTGTCAAACTGGGGAACAATAAAAGGAAGCAACGACGTCCTTTCGTTGAACAATACAGGGTTTATAAGTAAGACGGTAGTCAATTACCGGGTGAGCTGGCTTATATTGAGACGTCTAAAAAGGGGGACAAGGGAAGCGGAGTTTACAAGGGGAGCTGGTAGTCGCTGCTGCTGCGGCTGCCGCCGAAGCGCCAGCTGCAGCCTCGCAGCGCCATACAAGCCGGCCCTTAACATCGCGGCTCGGCGCAATGCGCACGACGACGGGAGCGCCTTTAATAGCAGACGACCCTTTGATCGCCGGCGAGGCGGCGAGCATTGGTTGCGGGACGGCCCGTCTAAGGACGCAGTTCGCCATGCTGCGGTGCGACGAAAGTGCCACGTAAATAGGAGAGTTATGCACCCTAAAGACAAGTGACACCGAAACGCTAATGACTGGAACCTCCCTGACGAGAGGAATGTGGCAGCAGGAGGTGGGAGAAGAGAGGTGGGAAAGGAGTTGGGAGGAGGTCAAATGAGGTCTAGCAGTGTCAGGCTGGAGATTAGAATTCTTCCCCTCCAGGACTCCCTCCCACCCCAGACTTCTCGAAGGACCATCCTGCGAACAAGGACGTATACTGTAACATTGGATACGCTCCTCGTGCTTTTTCGTAAGGCGGTTTTGATGAGCACCTGCGAGAAGTGTACCAGTCGCGCAGTGATGCCATTGGGCTGGGAGCGAGAGATCCGTGCAGCCAATTGGAGGGCCGAAACAAACCCACGCATAGGTGGATGGTGTGTGGCCTCGCTGAATGTTTGCGATTGGTGGAACTCCAATGTTGGGCTGGGCTGAAACGAATCTCCTCGGGAATATCCGTTTGGCCCGAAACTGCTGTTCTGGAAAAATGTTCATGGAATAATTTATGCCCCGTCAGATAATGGTACAAAGTATCAGCTATAACGGATCAACGTCACAAACGAGAATGTAAAAAACGAGTACGAATCTGTTGTTATTTCAGTTCCTGCCATTACAGCAATTTGGAACAACCAGCAGGCCCGATTAGCGTTTCCGATCTTCTGACCGCGTCACTTCCCCAACCGTCGCCAGACAAGTATGCCCTCTGCTCCTGCCGCTCCGATCCATGCATCCGCCGATGGCCTTCAGGTAGCCGTCCGATCAACGTGGCGCGTGGCCAACGGCGATTGGTCGTTCGTGTCCGACGTATCAGAAACACAGATCGAGGATGTTAGAAACGCGGAACGAGTCGACTGGGAGTTGAATGGAGAGGAAGGCGGAGGGGGCGGCGGAATCTGCGGAACGGTGACATTGGAGCGAGAGGAAGGATCGTCTGGTTGCGTCTTGACATGTAGGCTTTCGGATCGCATTCCTCCGCATCCCACTCCGTTTAATCCCCTGCCTCCGCGTTCTAACCCGCTTCTCCCCGTTGCTGCCCGCTCCTCTGCCTTTTGCCCCTTCCGCCGTTAGTTCTGAATCCCCCGCTTCCCCCTTTCTGAACCCCTCCGCCCCCGACTTTTTCCCCTCAGTTTCCCCTCCTTCCCCTCTCCCCCCTTGCTCCCCCGCCTCCCCCCTCCCCCAATCTTTCCCCTCCCCCAATCCTCCCACTCCCCCCGCCAGTGCTCTTCCCCGCCCGCGCCGTCCGCCTGCATTCCCTCCACCTCATCACCTCGGCGCGCTTTGCTGAGCTCTACGCAGCTCATGCCACGTGGCAGGGCGCCACGGGGCAGGGGGAGGGCGCACCCGGGGGAGGAGATCTGGGGGAGTATGTGTGCACTGTCAGGGGGGAACCCGCGGGGGCGATTGGAGGGGGAGCGGGGGGAGGCGGAGGAGGGGGAGAGGGAGGTGGAGGGGTAGGCGGAATGGGAGGGGGAATGAGAGGAGCAGGAGGAGGAGAAGCCATCAACCGTCCTCCTCTCCACTCCCTCCTCTTGCAGGTGGCACCTCCCCCAGAAGCAGACGACTGCTCCCACAGCAACTGTGGCTCCGAAGCAGAAGCAGCTTCGTCAACAGGTTCGGCAGCAGGCTCAACAGCAGCAACAGCAGGGGCATGCCTCTCCGACGCATGGCTCTGCTCGCTCTCTCTCAAGCTGCTGGGTCTCAGGGGAGGGTCTACAGTCTCTATCCACTCCCTCCGCCTCTCACTCTCCCCTGGCCCCTTCCTTCCCTCCTCTCTGCCTCACTCCGCCCTTTCCGCTGCCGCCGCTTCTGCTGCTTCATCTGCTTCTGTTTCAGCTGCGGCTGCAGCTGCTGGTGCTGCTGCTGCTGCTGCTGCTGCTGCTGCTGCTGCTGCTGCAGAAGAGACAACAGCAGCAGTAGCTGCTGCGCCGAACCTCCTGCCGAGCCTGTCTCCGAACCTGTTGTCAATGCTGCCTCAAGAGATGCTGGCTAAGCTGCCTCCGAACTTGCCTGCTGCTTTGGCAGGTGGCATGGGTGGCATTGTTGGTGGTAACATGGGTGGTAACCCGAGTGGTAACATGTCAGCAACAATGCTCCCGCTCCTCCTCGCGTCCCTTGCGGCTCCCTCCAAAACCCTCCGCCCTCCCCCTTCCTCTGCTCCCTCCCTTCCCTCCTTCCCTCCCAGCATCACCTCTCACACTCCCCTCGCTCCTCTCTCTGCTCCTCCTCCTAACCCGCCTCCCTCCCAAGACCTCCTCACTCACTCGCCTCTCCTCCTTTCTCTCGTGCATCGAGTTGAGCGATTGGAGAGGGTGTGTGCCAGGCTGGAGGCGCAGGTGACAGGTGGCATGTCGCGATTGGCCACACGGCTGGATAAGGTTGAATCCAGCGTTCGTGTGATGCAGGCGACTCATGCCTCCCCCACTGCATCTGCTTTGGCAACTGCTGGCACTGCTGCTACAAATGGTGCTGATGCTACAACTGATGCTACAGCTGCTGCTGCTGCTGCTACAGCTGCTGCAGCTTCTGCTGCTGCATCCACTGGGTTTGAGGCACCTCAAACGTCTCTCGTTCGTGTGATGCAAGCGTCTCATGCCTCCCCCATTGCTTCTGCTTTGACTCCTGCTGCTGCGACCGCTCTTGATGCTACAAGTGCTGCTGCTGCTGCTTCTCCTGCTGCTGCGGCTGCTGCTGATACATTTGCTGCTGATGCGACAGCCGATGCTGCTCCTTCCACTCGATTCGAGGAACCCCAAACTGCTGCTTCTATGCCTCTACTCCCTGATACAGTTTCTGCTACAGCCGCCGCTGCACCAATCAACACAGCCGCTGCTACAACCACTGCTGCTCCCACCACCACAGCAGCTGCTACAGCAGCTAGCGAAGCAGCGGTTGCTCCAAGCACTCTCGCAGCCAGGAATTTCATGGGCGAGGTTGACGGGGCAAGGGAGGGTAAGGGGATGGAAGAGACGCGGAAGGAGGGGGAGGAAGGCACATGGAGGGATGTCACGACCGAAGTGGTGACTGATGCTGGTGGTGGCAGTGGTGGCAGTGGTGGCAGTGGTGGTGGTAGCAGTCGTGGTAGTGGTGATGGTGGTGGTGACGAGGGATCTGCTGCTGCTGAGACAGCAGCTGCAGAGGCAGCCAAGGCAATGGAAGCAGCAGCAGCTGCTACTGCTGTTGCCGAATCAGAAAGGCATGTAGCAAATGCGGAGGAAGCAGCAGCAGCAGCAGCAGATGCCAAGGCAGTCAAAAAGCCAGGGGTGGATGACTTAGCCAAGGCAGTCAAAGAGCAAGGGGTGGATGACTTCTTAAAAGAGATACTTAGCCGAATGGAGCGGCGGCAGCAAGCAGAATCTCTTAAAGAACCAGGGGCTGCTGTGGTGCAAGGGGGGGGTGCTACCTTGATGGAAATTACGGAGAAACGTGGAGTGGGTTGGGATGAGAGCAGCAGTGGGAGGGAGAAGGGGAGAAGAGTAACGGGGGAAAGTGGGAATGCGAAGGAGGATGGGGGGTTTGGAGGGGAAGAGGGGAAAGAGGTTTTTGGGGTCCCTCTAAGGAATGGTGAGGCTGAGGACGAGAACAAGGAGCAGGCTGAGCAAGTGGAGGAGGAAGATGGGGAAGTGGCTTCTGTGGTTCCTCTTAGGAATGATAAGGCTGAGGAGGGGGGCAAGGAGGCTGAGCAAGTGGAGGAGGAGAGGGATGGGATGGGATCAGTGGAGGGGGGTGAGAAGTGCAGAGTGGGGAGTTGTGGGGATTTGCAAAGCTCATCTGAAGCAGAGATGAGACCAGGAGGGGAGGCTGTGGAGGAAGCAGGTGGTGAGATGGGGGGAGGTGGTGGGATGGGGGAAGGTGGTGAGATGGAGGGGGATGGCGAGATGGGGGAAGGTGGTGAGATGGGGGGAGAAGTAAGAATGGGGGAAGGTCACTCGAGCAAGTTGCACTGCATTCTGGAAAAGCAGATAGAGAGTGGTGGGGGGTTGGCGGAGAGTGGTGGAGAGGTGTTATAGAAAGGAGGGGAGCCCGCAGAAAGACTAGCAGCAGAATTGGGATAGAAGGGGGTTGGTGAAGGAGGGGGGTTTCGAGAAGAGAAGCAGCAAGGAGAAGGCATCAGTTCTGGTTCGCAAGAGTTAAGTTCAGCGTAAGAGGACGTTCGCACCTGTACCCAAGAATCGTCGACACGTTACCGAAGGATCGGGCTGGACTCAAAACACGGGCTAGACTCAAAACACGGGCTAGACTCAAAATGTGCCGAGTGTTGGACAGGCATGTGAAGATCGATCGGTCTACATGGCGACGAATGTGCGAGGTGTTAGTTATAGAGTGTGGGACAAATCGCAATGGTGTCATCTTAGAGTCTGTTCATTTGCACCCATGTCTACGGAATGTGAAGCGATTAACATGTAGAGGTGAATGTCTCAGGTTACACTCCACATGGATAAAATGGTTAGTGTTAAGTTACAAGTAGTAACTTACAACTCAACCTGCAACAAAGCGCAAGCTACCCTAACAAAAGAATGGTGGCAATTTGGCCACCCAAATAAAATAAATAATGTTCACATCCGCCCACTAAACATAATAATGATGTCACGTCAGTCGCTCCACACCACCATGCTGGAGCCACAATGGAGGCACCGACAGCGCGCTTAAAGCCGGTGGCCCAAATTGTTCATGCTTTTAAAAGTTGACCAGAGGGAGTTTTTCTGGTGTGGGCTTTGGCGAGAGTTTCCGATTTCGTCTAGGTTCGTTTTTTTCGCGAGACCCAGCCAACCCTCGGTTTTCCCCTTGGTGAGTGAATCTGTCTTCGAAAGTTCCAAATTGCAAGTGCGTGACTTTCAAAAGCTTGGACACTCAACTTCGTCAAGTTTTAAAAACTTGACCCTCGCGGCCCGCAATTTGGGACGCGGGCTTTAATGGACCCTTTATGGACCCTGCATGCCCTTCATGCGCTTTATTCAACGCCAGCAACTGCTCTCCCTCCACCGGTCGTTGTTATTGGTGTTGCCACTGCCAAGCTGGGTGAAGCAAGGCGACTTATGAGTCACCTCAAAAGCCACCTAGCAAACCTAGCAACTGTTCTCCACTGGTCGTCGTTATTGTTGTCGCCAATGCCAAACCGGGTGAAGCAGAAGATGGTTGTTAGTTCATGTTCAGCACCTGCCACGCCATGGCCGTGTGAAAACTAGAAATGGTGCCATCCGTGCTGCACGTGCAGCTTGTGCTGCCCATGCTGCTTGTGCTGCCCATGCTGCTTGTGCTGCCCATGCTGCTTGTGCTGCCCATGCTGCCCATGCTGCCCGTGCCGCACGTGCTGCAGATGCAACTGCAGATACCAGACCCACCCCAACCACTCCCCCCACCCCTCCCCTTACCCACAGGCATTCCCCCCTCACTCGCCAACCCCTGTTGGCACCCTCTCTCCCTGCTGCTGCTGCTGCTGCTGCTGCTTGTGAGAACCCTCAGACGAGACTCCAACAATACAGTTGCACCACACCAGTCCATCACGACTGCTTGCTGCTGCTCCCACCTGTCCCTCGACTATTCCCACCGCACCCTCTATAGGCTGACTCGCTAAAAGCACAGTATTTAATCCTGGGAGCTGTCAATATTGTGAATGTCGTCGAGATTGATCAGCACTGGTGAGGATGGACGCACAGCACGGGAGGCTGAAGCCATTTTGAGTCGACCCGAAAATCGGTCTCCGAATTTACTCCTGGGAGCTGTCAATGTCGTCAATGTCATCCAAATTGATCACCACTGGTGAGGACGGACGCACGGGAGGGGGAGCCGGAGCTATAGGCGAAGAGACAGTTGCAGGAAAAGCCGACGCCACTAGGGGTGACGCTGGCTTGAGTGCAGGTGGGGGATCCCGAACGTCAGGTGAAAAGTCAGGTGATTTTGCGAGGGTAAAGGCATGATCCAACTCCATCAGGTCAATCGAGTTCACTGCTGCAGCTGGTGTTAACCCTCCTCCTCCGGCTGCTGCTGCTGCTGGTTTTCCTGGTGCCATCACATTGGCTCCATTCCTCTCACACCAGGTGTCCGTGTCAACACATGCTTGACCACCAGCAGCACACACACCCTCACTGCCAGGAATTCTCATAACCGGCTTAACAATTGGTGCACTGTGGTTTGCAGGCTTTAAGTGCGGTGCAGTGCGTTTCACCATTGTTGATAGGTGACGACCCACTGCTGGCTTCAACTGTGGCTCTCCCACGCCTCTTTGCGATGAGACTGCTGCTGCTGCTGCTGCTGCTGCTGCTGTTGCAGGGACAGGAACAGGGGCAGGAGCAGGAGCAGGAACAGGAGCAAAAGTGGCAGGAGCAGCAGGGGCAGAAGAAGAAGCAGCGGCTGCAACGGAGAAACAGCTGGTACAATCTCCAGCAGCGGTGGTGGCTGGAGAACTTAGCTCACAATGCTCCTGCTGCTGCCCAGGAGGTTGATCGGTGAACCGCCTTCGTGGCCGTGGAACACAGATCCCTTTGACCTCCTCCCTTTGACCAGCGTTGACCCTCTTTCCTTGACCCGCGTTGACTCCTTCCCAGTCAGCAGCACCTGCCCACACCCCGTGACCAGCATACACCGCACCTGGACTCCCATAGGCAGAGAAGCCTGGGCTGGCAGCAGCCAGAGTGAATTCAGTGGATGGTTGGTGAGAGATAGGGGGGCACTGAGTAGGAGCAGGAGCAGGAGCAGGAGCAGGAGCAGGAGCAGGAGTAGGAGCAGGAGCAGGAGCAGGAGCAGGAGCAGGAGCAGGAGCAGGAGCAGGAGGAGCAGGAGCAGGAGTAGGAGGAGGAGCAGGAGCAGGAGTAGGAGCAGGAGCAGGAGGAGGAGCAGCGGGAGGAAGAGGAGGAGGGCGGCCAGGAGGAGGAGGAGCATGCGCAGGACGAGGTGGGGGAGCGGGAGCTGGAGCACGAACTGGAGCTGGAGCGGAAGCAGGAGCAGGAGTAGTAACAGGAACATGACCCGGAGGAAGGACAGGACGAGCAGCATGAGGAGCGACAGCAGCACCTGCAGCAGCAGCAGCAGGAGCAGCAGCAGGAGCAGCAGCAGCAGCAGGAGCAGGAGCAGGAGAAGGAACACGATCACGAGCACGAGCAGAAGCAGCAGCACGATCAGCAGGAGCAGCAGGAGAAAAAGCAGGAGCAGGAGCAGGAACAGGAGCACGAGCAGCAGCACGAGCAAGAACACGAGCAAGAGCACGAGCGCTAGCATGAGCGCGGGTACGAGCGCGCCTTTCGGCACGAGCGCGTCTACGAGCACGAGCACGAGTACGAGCAGGATGAGGAGGAGGAGGATGAGAAGGTGGAGGAGAAGGAGGAGGAGAAGGAGGAGGAGGAGCAGGAGGAGGAGGAGGAGGAGGAGGAGGAGGAGGAGGAGGAGGAGGAGGAGGAGGAGGAGGAGGAGGAGGAGGAGGAGGAGGAGGAGGAGGAGGAGGAGGAGGAGGAGCGGGAGCGGGAGCGGGAGCGGGAGCGGGAGCGGGAGCGGGAGCGGGAGCGGGAGCGGGAGCGGGAGCAGGAGCAAGAGCGTCAAGGGCAGCAGCGACAGCAGCAGCAGCAGCAGCGGCAAGGGCAGGGACATGATTGGTTGCACTGTCAGTTGCACGATGAGGGGCAGCAGCACCAGCAGCAGTGGCAAAGTTACTGGATACACTCTGAGGCAAGGAGATGTCAAAAGCAGTGGGAGTTGCAGCAGAAGAACCTGCTGCATCAGTAGGGATGGGGGTTCGAGCTGCAGTAGCAACAGCAACAGCAGAAGCAGCAGCAGCAGCGGTGGTAGCAGCAGCAGCAGCGGTGGTGGCAGCAGCAGCAGCAGCAGGGGCAGGGGTGGTGGCGGCAGCAGCAGCAGCAGCAGCAGTAGTTGCAGTGTTCCGAGTCACACCAAGAGGACAGGAGGTATAAGGAGCAGGAAGAGCAGCCACGGGAGTTGCAGTGTCAGACGAGGGAGCAGAAAGACAAGAAGCAGCAGCAGCAGCAGTAGCAGCAGCAGCAGCACCACCACCACCACCACCACCAACAGAATCAGCAGCAGCACCACCACCAACAGCATCAGCAGCAGCACCACCGCTAACACCACCAGCAGCACCACCACCACTAACAGCAGCAGCAGCACCACCACCAACAGCAGCAGTAGCACCAGCAACACCACCACCACCAACAGCACCACCACCGGCAGCAGCAGGTACATTGTTACGAGTCACACGAAGAGGACAGGGAGCATCGGGAGGTGCTGCAGCAGTGCCAGCAGCAGCAACACCAGCAGCAGCAGCAGCAGCAGCAGCAGCAGCAGCAGCAGCAGGGACGTTGTTACGAGTCACACGAAGAAATGCGGGATCATGCGGAGCAGCAGCAGCAGCAGCAGCAGCAGGAGCAGCAGCCACGACATTGTTACGATTTACACCAGGACGAGAGGGACCACGACGGGCTGGTGCACCAGCAGCACCAGCAGCACCAGCAGCACCAGCAGCATCAGCAGCATCAGCAGCATCAGCAGCAGCAGCAGCCGTTGCAGTGTCACGCGTTACACCAGGAGGAGTGGCGGCCGGGACACGAGAAGCAGGTTTTGCAGGAGAGGAGGCAGCAAGAACCGCGTCAGCAGAGAGGAACCACTCGTGACCACACGTTGCACACTCCAACTGGAGGAAGGGAGGGGTGGGGAGAGAGGAGGGGGGGGGGGGGATGGTGGCGGGAGGGGAATAATTTTTCAACATGGTATCAAAGAAAGTGGCAGCAGCGACCAACCTCTCGTGACAGAACAAAAAGTCTTCCCCATGCGATGGGAGTGGAAGTAAGGAAGAAAGTAGGTGCGGACTCACCTTGTACTGCTGCCCCTTGGAGCTGTTGAGGACGTTCAAAACCTTCAATTGCTGGTTCCCCCACACGACCACATCCCCAGCCACTGCACTTTGAAACGTGTCAACACTCACTCGCCGTCCTCACCTTGTACTGCTGCCCCTTGGGGCTGTTGAGGATGTCCAGAATCTTCACCTGCCGGTCCCCTCGCCAGCTGCATTGGGAGCACCGTATCCCCACCCACTGCACACACTCGCTGCGCCTGGGCCTGGCAACAGGCGGGGCAATCAGTGCCTTCTCCCGCCTCGTCAGACCGTCCTGAAAAAGAAGGAAGGATGAGAGGGGGAAGGGTTGGGCGGGTGGTGTGAGGAGGTGGTCCGATGGAGTGCGGAGTGGGGAAGGAGGGAAAAAAAGCGTAAGAAAAAAACGATTTATAAGTAGTGATATTACTGAAAGTCGTCCAGGGAAATAATGACAGAACATATGCTGGCTGGAGGAAGTGAGACGAAGGAAACAATTACCTTCAGTTCCTCCGGTGACATGGAGAGCACAACTGGTGGCGAGAGCTCGCCCAGAACGAAGCGACGCGATAAGCAGTTTCCACTCTGTAGACGTGCATAGATAGGGGTGGCAGGCAGATGCAAGGCGTGTGTTTGTAGATGACATGCGGAAAAAACGTCATGTGGAGGATGCACGACGCCAGCACGCAATGCACAGCTCGAAAGAAAGATAGGAGATGAAATCAACAGAAGAGCAATCGAAAGAAGGCAATCGACTAGACTCAGCTCGAAAATTGCTCACACAAACCAGAGCTCGGAAACATTCTTGGACCTTTTCCCAGCAATTAATAAGACCTTCTCAAAACTACTCACCTTGAAATTTGCTCGCACGGATCTGAGCTTGACAGTATACCTGGACCCCACGCCATCCCCCAGCGTCTCATTCGCGAGCTCCTCCAGATCAGACACCGCTTTCGCCGCCTTCATCTCCCACTCGCGCTGCTTCTCGTGGATAAATGAGTCTGATGCAGCAGCAGCAGAGGGGCTGTCCGTGGGAGCTGCAGCTGCAGAAGAATCGACTGTCGGAATTGCAGCTGCAGAGGAACTGGCTGTGGGAACTGCAGCAGCAGCAGAGGATCCGCCAACAGCGACAGCAGTGGAAGAGGCGTTTGCAGGAATGGAAGAAGGGACAGAGGCCCTTGGTGAGGCGCATGGGGAGGAGGAGGTTGCAGTGAGAAGTGCGGAGAGCAGCAACTCTAGCATGTGGTCCCGCTTGGGGATGCCAGTGCAGCAGCCAGCGCGCTCCAGGATCTCTGCTGCTGTACACCTCTGAGACTGCGACCCTGCTGCTGCTCCTTGTGCTTGTCCTGCTGCTGACCCTCCTGTTGCTGCTGGTGCGGCTCCTGCCACTACTGCTGGAGACTTGAAGCTATTGTTCCCAGCAACGGATGGACCGGAGCCGGCACCAGACGAACGGGAGGTATCATCAGCAGTGCCAACCGCAGCAGAAGCAGCAGCAGTGCTACGCGGTGCACTGCTTGTCGCCATACACCGTTTTCCACTGTGAGATCTAGCAATAGCCCTCCCTCCCACCTGTGACTTCTCTCGCTCCGTATCCTCGCGTACCTTCTCTCCACCCTTTTCTCTATCCTTCTCTCTACCCTTCTCTCCCCTTCTTTCACTTTCCCTCCCGCCAGTCTTTTTCCCCTGCATGTCACACGCCTTCTTCCCGACATTCTCCACTCTTTCGGCAAAAGGAGGGCGACCAAGGGCAACAGCACCATTCCTCCCGTCTTCCTTCCCTCCCCTCCCCTCACCACCTCTCCCAAACGACGCCGATCTCTTCACTGCTCCCCTTTCCGCTGCCTCTACACGCACGTCCTCTACCGACTCCATATTATGCTGCTTCGTGGTTGTCGCATCCGCACCACCTCCTTCATCCAGCCCTTCATCTCTGCTCCGTCGGTTCCACAGGTAGTCTCCTGGGTAAACACCATGTGTGTTCCGTAGCCTGCTGTTGTCTTCGTCCAACTCCCCACCACCAATATCCTCTTCACTCTCCTGCACCTCCTGTTGCCCCTCCTCATCATCACTTACCACTCGCTGCTTCATCTTCCTCAAACGCTTGAAACCTACGCCGAAACCATCCTTCACCTTTGCTTGGTAAACTTTCCTAGCAGCTGGATCGTGCATGGAAACAGCCGGATCACGCTGTAACGTATTCTGCTGCTTGGCGACTTTTCTTCTCTTTGCCTTCTCGTTGTTGACCCTCGCTCCTATCGGAACATCATCGTCCGAAGTCTCCACATCAGCTTCCCGCCTCCTTTTAGCGGACTGACCCATCCTTGCATGAAGCGGCTCATTATCACTTCTCTCATCTTCAGATTCCGACCCCTCTCCAGACCCTTCCTCCCTGACACGCTTACTCCGTCCCGAATCCGTCAACTTGACGGACTTGTCTTTCAGCATCTTCTTCAGCCTGATTCTGGTTTCCTGCAGTGTCGCTTCAACCTCCTTCCATTCTCCCCGTTCCATCCTACTCCGGTCATCAACGGCCACGATCCGTCCATCCATATGGCGGTAGATAAAGTGAACCACAAATCCTCCAGCTTCTTCCTCTTTGAGAAAGCCCTTGGCTCGTGGAAGCATATGAATGGTGCATTTACCAGCAATCGCTTCAGCGTCAAACGGATCCGTGTGAAAGGAGTAGAAGAGGAGCCGACGGTCCGCGAGCTCCTGTTCGTTGTAGGGTAGTGATGAGCATGAGGATCTGCTGAAACCATGGAACTTCCGCCGGTCATCCGAAATCTCCTGAACGGAGTACATCCACTGACCGACGACTTCTACTGGAGCCAGAGCACCGGCTCTGACTTGCTGGCGTATTTCCTGCAGAATGTCATGAAGCAAATATTAGAAATATAACATTCTTAAATCATACTGAATGACATGGTGGAAGGTTAGAAAAATGAATATTTTACCCTAATGATGCAAATGAATGGCACAGGTTCCTCGTTGATAACTAGCTCTTCCTGGCTGTCGTTATCCGTCTTGCTTAAGCTCTCATCAGACCACACCAAGACAGCGTCTCCCTGAAAAGCAAACGAAGGCAACAGGATGGCAAGAAGTGAACGGCTCGAGTTAATCATTTAGTTTTTAGGCTTTACGGCGTTTTAACATATTACATGCATCGTTCATCGTTTACATGCATCGTTCAGCGTCCGTAGGATTACGGCAACTCTTGCTGTGTTTGTCGTTTCACTGAGTCCTACGGACGCTAACCTAGTGGACCATGTTTCAACGCTCAGATGTAACCTAAGCTGGCATAGCTAGACTAGAACGAGAGAATCTTACGAGCTTGTATATGTTGCCTTGCCACTTTAGCGCTTTAAACAGCAGGTACTCCTTCCCCTCCCGCTCCTTCCGTATCGGCTTCCCTAAAGCTTCTGCACACTCGTCTACATCCATAGCACAACAATGGATGAACCAAGCGACACAACAAGTCTCACCAGCTACTCTAACCTAAGGCAGAATTTAACTACACAGGAACGAAGAATAATACTAAAATGTCAGCAAAAACAGTCGCACTACGAGGCTGTGCTGCTGATAAATTACTTATTTTCTTGATAAATGGCCTTCTGAGACATGGCCTTCTGAATTTATGAAGACATGGCGTCCTGAACAACACCAAACCTAACTCCAACCAAGCCAGCACAGATTCACTGTAGCTTCTAGGGCTCTTCCAGACCTCCATTGCGGCTTCGAAGTGCTCTCCTCCTCGCCTCGCCTCGCCTCTCCCTGACCATGCTTCTTAGGGTGTGGGCCCAATCGAGTTTGATCGCGATGGATCTGATCGGGTCGGATCTGATCGGGTTGCTTGTGATCCCAGTGCCCGAGCGCTGTACATTTACGTCGAAATTTTGTCCCCATACTAGCGAGATTGGCGACCATACGTCACCTGGCGAATAAATTAACATTGTAACTCTTCGCAAGCGTCGCTGTGGGCCCCGATCACATGCAATCAGGTGATCGCCTGTGATCGAGGAAAATCGACTTTGATCGGGGTAAAAATCGGGTCTGATTGAGTTGGGACGATCAGCTGATCGCGATCAGCTGATTGCCCCTGATTGCATAAAATTGGCTTCCAGGCCTCCTAGAAATTCTTGACCGCATGTGATCGAGGCGATCAAATTCGATTGGGCCCACGCCCTTACGAGTCGGGCTGTCTGGTCCGGTTGTCCTCCATACCAGACAGAAACAGTACAGAGCAGTGCAGTACAGTATCGCACCGCCTGAAAACTCGCGCCGAGGAGAACCTATCTATAACTGAGTGTGTTCTGCACATGTCAATGCGCCTGGTCTGTATGTGATAATTCGGGGGGGGAATTTCGTTCACCAATCAGAGATTCCCGCGGTTCAAACCCTCCTAATGGAACAGAACATTATTACTAATGAAATTACTTCATCACAAACACTATCAACGATCTATTTTGCTTAAACTTGCAGATTTGTTATACGCACACCAAGCCCTACTTATAAGACAGGTCGCATGTGCTGGACATGTGAAAGGCATCCTGAGCCCAAGAAGGCAATGTACCATGCACCACAACCCTTTCCCCAGTGCTTGGATGTGGAAAATCCAAGCGTTCCGCGTGCAAAAGGTGATGCGACCAAACCCTTCCCTCCATAGGCCACATTGTTGGTCCTCCATACCTGACATCTCCTACCAGGTGAAACCCTGCAAACTGGCAGTGCAGACGAATCTGGTGGGAGCGTCCCGTATGGGGGAAGGCCCGAACCAGCACAGCAAGTGGGGCACATGGAGTAGCTGCACAAGTGTCTTGAGCTGTTTGCTCGTGTTCTGCATCGGACGAGCGAAATTGCGTTGACTTCAGCATTGCCAGAACCACCAGCTTGGTCCGCATGTCCCTTACCCTTGACCCACCAGGAAGTTTCCTCCCAATATCCTTCACATCGTACACACGCCATAGCCCGTGCCGTGATCTGCCATGGCCTGTTTCCAATACTAACTCATCACCTGCCTTCAAATAACAAGTTTTGCGAGGAGCAGAGCGAGAAGCCGGTGCAGAAGTCGAGACAGGGTCAGAAGCAGAGGGAGAGGTCGCGGCAGGGGCAGAGGTATTGGCAAAAGCAGAGGCAGAAGCAGAAGGAGAAGGAGAAGGAGAAGGGGAAGCACATACAGCACCAACAATCTCTTCATCACAGCGAGTATCCCCACTGGGTGCAACAGCAGAAGCGTCGGACAGAGCACAGAGAGCCAAGTACGACTTGCTGACGTCCCTCCTCTCAAACGCCTTCCCTAGCTTGGCAGCTGACTTTGCGGTCTTCGCCAGCAGCAGCACGCCACTGGTATCGCGATCCAATCGGTGCACCAGAAACGGGGTGGAAGCGGGTAACCCTGTAGGTGACAACGCCGTGTGACTGCCAGCTGCAGCTGGCGTACTGCTGGTGGAACTCAAACCCTGCATTCCTGCTGCTAAGTTCTCCGCACCCAATGTCATCTTCCCATCCACAGCACGTGTGCTCTGCTCTGGAAGTTTTCTAATCACAGGTACACTTGATGGCATGTGCGACTCCTCCGCGCTTTCCGCACTTGGCCGTTTCGCGTGTGTCGCTCGGTCTCGCGTGGTCAGCATGGCACCCACGGCTGATAGGATGTGTTCACTGTACACTCCTGGCGGTTTCTGCACGGCAATCAACCAGTCGTCTTCCAACAAAATCATGTCTGGGTCTATTGAGATGCCAGCGCCTGCTGCTGCTTCGGCGGCTTGAGCTCGTTGGGTCTCGATCGAGGAAGACTCTGGAGGAGGGAGTGGGGTCACAGGAGTTGGAAACGATGAAGCTAATGTCGGGGATGGTGCCACCGCTGGATTTACTTGTGCATACTTGGATTCTGCCATGGCTCGTGACCCTCCTGAAGGATCTCGAACACTCTCTGGCGCATGACCGGACGGCGCTGATGCGAGAAAATGAGAGTCTGACGCGGATGCGCAGCAGCTGTTCGTACGAATCGGCTCGACTATTTGGAAAAGTTTCTCAGGCGTCATGCTCGTAAAGAATACGCTAGATCGAAGCTCCGACTGAAGCTGAAATGCGCGCGGAAGTAAGTCGAGGGATGATGCCAAACGTTTCGGTTGTGTCTCGTTGTGAAACACCCTCAATCGTGCCAAATGGTCAAGAAGCTGTCGTCGTGGCCCGAAAACCGTAAGCATGCTACTCCAAGAAAAGCTCGATGATGCGAGAATGGCAACAGGGGAAGAGTCTGTTGTGAAATACTTTTGATTTGAATGTGAAGCTATTTTCGGGGAGCAGCAGCTAACCATACTGGGTTCAACAAAGAAGAGCACGAACTGTATTGTAACACTGAAGTGCGACTTCGCGAATTTCAGGTAGTCGAATCAGTCCACAATGCACGACTTCCTTTGCGTTGGGCAGTCCCGTGCATCGACGGCTTTTATGCAGCTGAAGAACCCTTTGACGGCTGAGATTCATCTTGAGCCGACACAAAGGACAAATACGACGAGTGAGCATGTTCACTTGCGAGCAACAGTTGAAGCAGGCGGTTCTGCTTTCCGTTTCGTGTTTGCTCCTCCAGGCGGTCTCTGTTTCCATTTGGCTCGGCTCGGCTCAGTCAGCAGGAGCTCAGCGCCCCTAGGCTCCATCCACACAGCTCCGTTCAACCCTGACAGTTTCGGTTGGCCTAGCTTAAGAACCTTGGGATTGACATGCTCGAGCAGGTTTGTTTGCAGCTGATATTCTCAAAATGGTCTCCCAACCCATCTAGAATAAAAATGCACCGCTCTGTCACGCACAATATCGCATACAGCCACTGATAGTGCACTTCTGCACACTTGAGACCTCCAGCAGGGAGGGTTGGATTGTTTGGCATGGTGATAGTAGCTTCTGTTTCTAGTAACTTTTGTAGGAATGAGAGTTGAGGGACCAAGGGACAAAGTGAAACCGACGTGTCGGGAAAGTGAGAGGGATGGAGTGGGCGTTGGAATTTTTAGGCGGTGATTGCTCAGTGACACTTCACCTCTGCGTCGATTAAACATCATACTCTGACTATTCGTTAGTTTAGAAGCCAAACCTGGAGTTTTCTAGTTTTTTTAAGACTGTCCTCAACGTGACAGTAGCGTGTCGAGTTACCATTTGGCGACAGCCTGTCCTTCCGTGTACATCCTAGCAGAAGGCATCTTATCTTATCATTTCGAGGTTTTTTTTCTGTTCTCTGCCGCCAGAAGAATTTGTCACCTACCTAGTTCATGTGAAATCTCTTCGGTCGCCACGACGCGCGTCATGTCGCGAAACGCCATGTTCACAGACCAACAGCATCCGTCTCGTTACGGACGGCCTCGGTACCTGTTGCCTCTCTTCTGCTGCTGTTCCCTACTCATCCTCGGCTCATTATCATCTACCAATGCCGTCCTCTCCTCGTCGACGAATCTCCAGCACCACCAGCAGCTGCAGCAGGAGCAGCACCAGCAGCAGCATCAGCAGAGAGTACTATCACAAACAACTGTACAACGTAAACCGCCGTTAGAGCCTTTGGAGCCATTGGAAACTTCAGAGCCGTTAGATTCAGTCTCTCAACGCCAATTCTTGAGGGAGAGAGCCCGCGCTTTGCGAGAGAAACTGGACGCGCAGAGGTTGAGACGGAAATCGTCTCGGGTCTCTACCCAGCCGACCTTGAGTCACCTCAAGGTTCGTCTTTTCCCGCCGATGCGGTCCCCTTGCCGCCTTCTTGGTCACGGATGTCTGCATTCTTTTCAACCCAACGCATCGCAAATTGTTTACATCCTAACGGTTCGGCCTTTTTCTTTGAGGGCCCTTCAATAGTTGATTACAGCCGAACGTCCGTCGCGTCTCCTTTTTGTAACAAGTTCTCCCTTTCGCTCCCCTCCCCCCCTCCCCCTCTTTTTCCACCCCGTTTCGTCTGGATGCTTCCACGTCAGCAGAGTCTCCATGACAGAATCCAGAGCGACGATTGGTGCAGAGGTCTCTCGGACGGCCTTTACGCAGACCCCCTGGCCAACCCTTCATGCAGGTATGTCGGCATTGCAGACCTTTCAGTTCAGACGTTGCCATCCCCTCCAGTGACAAAACCCACAACAGAAAGCCTGACGTTGGTTTCCGAATGTCTATTTCTCACGAACTTTTTGTGTTCTTCCCCGCTCCACCCCTTCCCAAATATCCGTTCCTCTTCCTCCTTCACTCATCCCATCCCTCCGCTCCCCTCCTGCTCTTTTCTCCTCTCTCCCCCTCTCGCCCCCCCCCCCCCCCCTCGTGTGCCGCCGCTTCCCAGTGTATACTTCCGCTGCTCCAACCAGGCTCTCGCCGCTCTGCACCGCTGTCCACCACACACGCTGTTCCTCGAGGCAGGCCTGTGGAACGGCGGTAAAGGGGAGGAGGAGGCGGGGAGCGAGGGCGCGTGCATCCCTGAGGAGGAGTTCCTGCACAATGCACACCTGAGGAAACTCGGAGCGAGCTCCTCTGGCGAAGGCTGGGAGGGTTTCCCTGTGGAGGGCCAGGGAGACGCGGGCTCCGCGTATCCGTCTGGCGGCCACCGGGGGGTTTCGTTGAGGGAGGTGGCGGGTGTGAGCCGGGCAGTGGGCCTTCTCGAATCAAAACCAGCAGCAGCAGCAGCAGCCGGCGCAGGAGGGGCAGAAATAGCAGGGGGGGCAGGGGGAGACGAAGGAGCAGGAGGAACGGGAGAGTCTATGGGAGCAATGAGGAGCCAGCTTGAGGTGAATCCACAGGCAGGGGGAAGCGGGGCTTCATCTCCAGGTGCCTCATCGCAGGCTGCCCCATCTTCCCCCACCCCGTCCGCTTCCCTCCCGGACCCGCAAACCCTGGCGGAGCTGAATGCGCTGCTGGCCTTCAAGGCGTCCGTCATCGTGTTTAACGACCTCCTCGCCTCATGGACCGTTCCCCGCTCCGCCTTCTCCGCCTCCTCCGCCCCATCCGCCAACTCCGTCCCCTCCGCCTCCCCCGCCTCCTCCGCTGCCTCCTCCCCGACCCCTACAGCTTCCTCTGCGCCTGGCGCTTCGTTACTTGCTCCCCCGCCCGCCCAGGTGGCGCGCGGAGGGTGGTGGGGCTGAGTATGACCAGGTTCGGCCCGGACCTGGACAAGAGGCCCATGCTGATGCTCACCCGCAGGTCCGTTCTGGAGGAAAATTGGGACGGTTCAGGTGCGGCAAGTGGAGGGGGGAGCAGCGGTGACGTGGCTGGTAGCAGCCGCAACAGCAGCAGCGTCAGTAGCAGCGGCGGTGGAGGCAGCAGCAGCAGCAGCAGCAGCCCTAGTCTTCAGATTTCCCCCAATCTCCCCAGTTTCCCCAGTCTCCCTCTCATCCCCCTGCAGTTCTCCGCCCTCACAGCCCTCACCAACCTCTCTCTCTCCAGCAATCGCGACTACCGCGAGATGGCTGGGCTAATAGGAGCCTTCCCCTCCCACCTCACCTCCTGCTCCTCCCTCCAAGTCCTCTCCCTCACAGGCCACAGGCTACTCGGTACTCGGCCCCCTCCCAGACTCAATCTCTCTCTTCTCCTCCCTTAAGCACTTACAGCTGACGTATAATCTAATGTCCGGGCAGTTACCCACTGCCCTGGCGTCGCTTTCCCGCCTCACGAACCTTAATTTGGAGGCCAACAATTTCTCGGGGGAAATCCCCTCGCAGATATCCCGGCTCGCAAAAACGCTTGTGAATCTAAATCTCGGGCAAAACTCCCTTTCGGGCAGCTTACCAACCGAGCTCGGGCAGCTGACAAACTCGGAAACGGCCCATTCGTCGACCCATACCCTGGCCTCTACCTTCACCGAAACTTACATTCCGGCCCGCTGCCCGAATCCCTCTCGTCCCTCTCGTCCCTCCAAGCCCTAGACCTCTCTTCAATAACCTATCCGGCCCAAATACCTCAAGCAGGTTCCTTCCTCACGTCCTTCAAACAACCTTCTCCTCCTGTCACTATCCCACAACCAGCTCTCCGGTCCCCTGCCGCTGCAGAAGGGCTGCGGCATGTCCTTGTATCTGTTTCAGCTCGGTTCTAACCGGTTCACTGGTGGTCTTCCTGCTGACCTCTCGTCCTGCTACTTGCTTTACTCGCTCGACGTGTCTAACAATTTACTTTCAGGGCAGCTGTCGCCGGGTTTCTTTACGTCCCTAGCAGGGACGTCGGTGGGGGAGATTTTCCTGGCAAACAATAGCTTTGAGGGTAATTTACCCTCGGAAATTGGCGGTGTTGTGACGCTGGGCGCTCTGGATTGCCAGTGGCAACCGGCTTTCTGGGAAGCTTCCGGAGCTCAAATCCTGTCCGTCTTTGATTTACCTGGCGAACAATAACTTCTCGGGCAGGATTCCGGCAGGGTTTATCTGCCCGTCCTTGTCAGCCCTAGACTTGAGCAACAACTCTTTGTCGGGGGACCTGCCCGAAATCCTTCTGGGCAACGCTAGGCCAGCCGAAAAAAACCCACCACCATCGCATCGGCAGCAGCAGCATCAACACTATCAGCAGTAGCAGCAGCAGCAG